AGATTTGATAGGTATTACTCATACCCACAAGCTGCACCTTATTTTCCAGAAGTCTATCGTTAGAAACTCTACAGTTAAGTTCTTGGCTTGGAGAAATTCTATGATGGATGACCCCCTGAGAAGTTTTCTTGGGGAGCATGCGAGTGAGAATAAAGTATGTTGAAAAGACCCATGTTGGTACAGTGGGGACAGTACGTCGTAAATCTAACGGCCGTGATAGCCCATTAAGTGGGACCTGGGTCGTTACAGTTTACATCTGATTTCCTCCCCCCATTGAAGGCATCAGATTACTGGTAGTTGGTAGTGTTGATTGTGTGTTATCATTGGATCTGGTGTTAGCCATAGTTGACTCTGATACCAAGTTGAAATTCGGAGAGAAAGAAGCTAACTAGTAATTGAATAAAGAGAATTAAAACTGAAAGCTTAATTGAATTAATTTACAAAATTACAACTGGTAATATATACACAAATTACTGGAGCAGGGTGCAAGTAATTCATTGTAATTACACATGAAGAATCAATTACAGTTACAACAAGAACTGTGGTCCTAAACTGTATAATTATAACTACACGTGTTTAATCCGGAGTAAGTAAAAAACTGGTAAGTGTTGGCTAAATATGGTAACTTCAGCCATAACCAGTAAGTGTGTTGATATACCGTAAGTGTTGGTAAATACGGTAACTTGCTGTTGAACTCGATAACTTTAACAAGTGCATATTGAATTTTTAATCTAAAACGGATTAGTTGAACTTCTTTACCACCAATCCCAATCAATGCATGCTATTTTACAATTTAATTTTGAAGGTTATGCTATTCATGTATCTTATTGTCTTTAAAAGTAACTGTTATTTTTTTTGGTTAATTATTATCCTCTTTTCCAGAGACTTGATAGACCCCACAGGGTTGTTTTGTTTTAAAGATCATATTTTTTTTTAACTTTAATTAGATTACTGCTCATAATTTGAATTTCACTGTGATTTGTGGTAAAAGAGAAGGAAAAAGTTCAGAGAAATGAAGAGGTGTTTTGTTGGTCTGTCCTTCTTCAGATAGTGACTCTGTAATGCCCAAAGCGAAACACAATGATTATTTATTTTAACATTGGCATGCTCCTAAGACATGCTGTTGTCAAGATAAATGCATCTTTGCTTTATGCATTCATTTTAGTTTAGATAATTTTTGTTTAGTTGAATACTGAAGGGTATTGAATGCTCATTGTAGTGTATTGTGGTGGCCTACCGGAAGGCATGACAAGTTAGTTACTGTTGATGAGCAGAATATCTTGCTGTGGAACATAGATACTTCAAAGAAGACTGCTCAGGTATGGCTCATAAAATAATTTCTTGAGTAGTGTTCTGGCTAGATGGCTGCATATTCACAACATGGAGAGCTACAATTCACCGTACTAATTTTTCTAAGGAATTTCCTTTGATTTGTATTTAATTTTGCAGAATAAGTTACTGGGTACATTTGACATTTATCATTAATGTTTTTGTTATCGTTTTTGTGAAATATGTGTGGGTTGTTGTACCTTGATTTATATTTTTTTTCACCTTGGTTTCACATGTTCAACATCTGATAAGAGTTATTATTACTGGAAAGGGACCTTAAGATCATCATAATGGTCTTGTCCCTTTAGATTTCTTGGGTTAATTCTTATTCAGGTCTTGCTGCAAAATCTAGGTACAATCACAATAATCTTCAGGCCTACTTCATTATTTATCTGGTGGGGCGTGGGATGCACATGATGTTAATACTGTTGCCTTGACTTGTGATTCATCAGTTCAACTTTGGGATCTGCGTACAATGAAGTAAGTTAATATCGAATCCACATCTCTACCTAATTTTGATCAATAAACACATTCAAGCTGTTGTTGTCTACGACCTTACTTGAACAGGATCTGTCCTATAGGCTTGTATCGCTGTATCCTTGAGTTCTAAGGAGACATGAAAAAAGTCTGGTGGATGACATATGGAAGCGAAAAAAACAAAAGCTGTTGTTTTTGTCTTGATGTCAGCTGAGCAAATTGTAAAATTGAGCAACTGCATTTTATATATCCCATATATACTTGATAATAACTTGTCATTATTGTTTGACAGTTACTATATCGCTCTTTCGCTTTGCCACCACATTCGGTTGATATTGTGACATTTTGCCATTTTATGGTGAACGGTGCTTCTGCTCAGTATTTCATATTAACATCTCTAGATCTTTAAATTTTGATTCCCATCTATTTGTCTAAGTTTTCTCCATTTCACTCAGTTGATGCTTGTAAGCTCCAATTACCTGAAAAGCAGGTTCATATTAATCTGATGATAAATTGACTTCTAATTGTTTGAAGTGATTTTCAGTGTTGACTATAAATATTAATGTTCATTTGTTTTCAGGACGACTAATTCAATTCAGCTCGCTCACGTTCGTAATGTGGATTACAACACCAAAAAGAAATACATGCTTGTGAGGGTTCAGCTGTGAATTCATTCAAGCATTTCATTGACCCAACAATTTGCAATAATGCCAGTTGTGAGGATGTTGCATTCAAGTGCATCTGCACGAATGCTTATAATTGCACACCACATTGATGGGTGGCTGGCTTATAGAGACTTGTATTGTGCATGCACACACCTTTATATATGGGATTTGTTTCACATTAGATTGGCAGGCTGGTTTCCCGTTATTTGCTTCTTGCTTATTGACAACTTTAGGAGTGAGTTTTTCTAGATCAATTACGTGCTTTACTTTTATTTCTAATGATTATCTTTTTGTTCAGAAGACCTTTGTTTTATTTCCATTTCATGTATGTTGTTACAACTTCTCAATCACATTGTCTTGATATAAAATTGACGAACACGGTAAGGTAATATTATACTATCTCCTAAATTATCCAACCCGTTCAAGAACTGATCTAAATTTAATATAACAAAGATGCTTGAGGAATGGTTAAAATGCAATATGCAACTATATGTATGTATAAAAGTAACTTTTTTATTGAAGATACCAACTAAAAAAGGCTAGTTATCCCTAGGAGTAGTAGAATGTGGATCAACCTGCTGACTGCTAAGGGTCCTCATTATATTGTGTTTTGTCAATTTTCGCCATTAATTACAATTTATAATTAACAAAATGATGACAGCAATGGGGAACCAACTTTCATACTTATCCATATTCTTCTCTTGACTTTTCTTAACGTCTCTGTAAATTTTCTTTCATTAATTGCAATTGAAGGAGGGATGAAAGTTGAATGCAGGAAAAAAAATTAAGGCTTCAATCCTTTCTCTATCCCTCTCTTTAATAGACTGGTTGACATGTCTCAGGTAACCGCTGAAGATGAGACTGGGATACATATATGGGACCTCAGAAAGCCGAAGTACCTAGTCTCTGAGCTCCCGGACATTCACACTGGTATTTTTGTAAATAATGATACATCCCTAGTTTAATTTTGGGTATCCATTGATGTCTGGTGTCTTCAAATGGTATTTCTGTTGTATTCGTTCCCTTCTTTTACGACAGTTTTTGTTCCTTTGTATGCACACTCAAGTCTTGTATCCCCATAAAGCACAATGAAGCTTGCCAGGCTAGCCCCTATAAGAAAAGAATGCAATTCTCTTGTTTTTCTCATGTTTGTTATGTTATGATGATAGTTCTAAGTGGATCTTTTAATCATTTATTCATTAATATTGATTATTTGACAAGTCAAAAAATATTGATATTGTTGACAGGACATGGACAGTTAAATGTAATCCGGAATATGAAGACTTGATTCTGGTTCTCCCTCGCGCGCGCTCTCTCTCTCTCTCTCATATCTTTTCTCTTGAACGATTTTTGCTTAAACTTGTGCTTCTTAGAAAGGGCATGATTTTATTTTTTAGTCATTGTTTTATTGCTAATAGTACCAAATTGTCGTAGAGTGCTGGAACTGACTCAGCTGTCAATTTATGGTCGGTTCCTCCAAACAGTGATGATTATGCTTCTGACAAGTGTATATTATCTTTACAAGTCCAATTTCAATGCCATTATTTGGCTATTATGTATTCATCATTATTTCTAATTTTGGCAGCCTGGTGGAATCACCTACAAGGAGGGTAGATGCGTTGCTTCATTCATACACTGATTATGAAGACAGTGTTTATGGTATTGTTACAAATCAGAAATTCTTTCAGATTTAGTGCTTAACTCTACTTAACTGGCTTTACTTGGTTGCAGACCTTGCTTGGAGTTCTCGAGAACCCTGGATATTTGCTTCATTGTCTTATGATGGGAGGATAAAACTGCTTTTACTTGAAAAAATATATATATTAGTATATTCTTGTACTCCCATAATAGTAGATCTAGCAATAAACCGAATGGAGTGGTGGAAAAAAGTTCTCGTAACCAACCCCGTATTATTGGAGCAAGGCTTAGTTAATATTTCAAATGGAAAACTTGCATCGTTGTAGATCATGAGTATCAGATGCTGTTGGTGTTTCCATGACATATTCTCAGCGTTCTATAGTATTCTTCATCTTGGCTTTACATTCGCGTGAACAATACTTTTAGTAGGTGAACATGACATTTTCTTTTTGGTCAATGCATATATTATTTTCGGTATTGTTGTCTACCCATATTGAAAGGAAGGGCTTACTAATGGTGGGAGAATATAAAAGCAGAGTCTAACTTATCCAAGTACTCGAGTCAGTTTTTCAATCTGTGCCTAGTTTTTCATCTACCATTTATGCGAACACACATCTGTTGTATCAAGTAGGTCATTCCCAATTTCAGATACATGTTACGGCTAGAATATAATTCCTTTCCTCATTTGACTCGATAACTAAAGGAATATAAATAAAGTTAGCTCTGTTGAGCATTGATTGCTTTACCATTTCTCCACATTTCAGTTCGTTATTTAAGCATGGGTTATAACAGCGTTAATTCCGTGTGATGTAGGTAGTTGTGGAATCAATTAAACCCCATCTTCCTAAGAAATGAATCCAAGCAAATACAGTAGGTGAAAATTCTTAGTCTTATCGAGACTCTATTACTTCACAATGACGGCCCTCTGGTATGGTGTCTTTTCCCAGGCAAAATTTTCCTTCGGAGCATTTCGAAGTTTTTAGTTCGTGGTTATGACCTACATGGTGTTTTAATTCGTGTTGGATTGGCTGTTTGAAGTGTGGTAGTCATATATTTCTCATTTGGTGATTTGGAGGGAAAAAAAGTCTTGATGCCTAGGAAAATTGATTTAGCCCCTGTTTGTTATAGATTAAAATCAGATTTTTAGTATATTTTGATAAAAGTTGATGAAATGTGTGGTTGAAAAGTTGTGAATCCCATGAAATGTGCGGTTAAAATTAATTGTTGACTTTAATTTGAGATTAAAATCAGATTTTAATTTGTACCAAACAGGGGCTTAGTCAACTTGTTATGTTTGGAAAATCATTCAAATGTTAAAATTGAAATATTATATTAATAAGATGATTTTACCCTTT